CAGGGAGCAGGAGGCTTGTTGTGTGCATGGAATGAGCAAGAAAACCCGAGCCCCGTGCTGCTGAGCCCTGCTCTAGCCAGGAGATGAAAGATGCGAATTCAAGCCCCTTCCCTCCTGCATGTGGGCAATAGCTGTCAGACTGGGGGCTGTCCCCTCCACAACACCTCTGTGTCTCTGAGTCTCTGGAGGGATCACAAGAGCGTCGGTCAGGACCACTCTCTTCCTGGGCCATTGGATGACCTGTGGGAGGTGTGTTTTTAACTTCTTTCTCCTCTCTTTAACCCAGCCCTGAGGAGGTTCCCCCTTGTACCCACTGGTGTGATGGGGAAGTGTCCTAGATCAAGCAATGCAGACACAGCACCGAGGCTGTACAAAACCACCAAAATCTGGGGCTGAAATTTGTCTGAACAAGGGGTTTATCCCATATTAAAAGCTGGAGTGAGTGATGTGATGAATTCTCTTCTAAATGCTTTCAAACTGTGCTAAGGGAAGAAGGTGAGGGGCTGTTAACATGAACTCGGATTTAAATTGGGCATTGCTTAAACCTCTTTCCAGGTGAACCAAGGAATACACATTTCTTTCATCTCTCTCAGTGATAGCCACTGGAGTGGTCACTTTATATTTTGCCAGCCAGTAGCCATTTTCTCCGTTTAAAAAGTATAATTAAATTCTGCACCTCTGAGTTCCCTGAAAACTCTGTAAACTATTAAGAAGAGCAAAAAGATTAAATCTGAAAGGTCATTACTCTGAAGAGGCCTTTCTAAAATGTATTGTCTAATGAAAAAATAAATAGCATTTTTAATGTGCTGTTACAGATAAAATCCTGCCTTTCTTTCCTCTTTGTATTAATTTTACCCAGATCAGCAACTCATTAGTAGATATACGCATGCTGCAGCTTTAGAAGCCTGTTGTCATAATTAAACTGAAGATCCGTGTGTTCTGTCAGGCATGTCCAATGTTGTCTATTTATTGTAAAAAGCCTTCATAGTCTGAGCCCATGTTCTGCTCCTGCTGCCATTTAACACCCTGCTGAATTCAGCAAAAGCTCAGTAACCTTCCCCAGTCTGCATCACATGCATCCTTTCATTTTCTCACTGTCCCATGTGGTAGATTTCTCCTTTACCAGAAAAAGAAAAGAATATTTTTCTAAAGTAAGAACAGAAAATGAATATGTAAAATTGTCCCTACGCTTCATAAGGAATCATCTCTTGAGAATGAAGCAATTGTAAGCCCGCATCACCCAGACTACCCTCTTCTAGAAGGCATGGGGGAAAGAAAGAAAAAGAAAACCTGCTTTTGAGCTGGGTAACCTGGGAAGCAGCACTATCAGTCACAGTTAAACTATTTCCAATCAAATATCTCTCAAGGACACATAATATTTTTGCGAGATAAACTTTTGCAACGTGCAGGATATTAGCTGACCTACCATTGCTCATGAAATACAAATCTATTTTATTTTGTTTTTAAAACTACTTTTATTTACAGCACCATGCTTTCAGACTGTGTCTAATTCACTGGGCTTCACCTATAGTAGTGGGAGTATGGAAGGACCTAAAGACTTCTGTACAGATGGCCCTTATCCCGTGGGGAGACTGCGAATTAATATGAGGGTCATTGGCATTCATCAGGTACTTGGTCTGTCTGGCAAATGATGACATCAATCTCAGTGCAAAAGGGATCATGCATTATTCTATATGTAATCAACTGCTAAATTTAAACAGTGAGGGGACGATAAATTTTTTTCAGGAAGGGTCATTAATAGCCAAGGGCCTGAGCCATCAAACCCTTACTTACATGAGTGGTTTTTGCCCTTACAGGTTATCTCATTAGGCTCCCGCCTTGGCAAAAAAGGGCTGTGTAATACAGGGTCTGAGGAATTAGCATCTGAAGGAACAACTTCTCTAATTAACAGATTAAAAAATATCCATGTACAAAAGTCTGTTTGGGAGATTTGCAAATATGTATGCCGTCTGCTTCTTACCAGTGTGAATCCAGAGAAAACTGGAAGTTACAAAGGTTGTAATGAATATAAACACAATTGTAAAATACAAAAACTAAATACAATATTGTAGGTCATGCAGTGGCCATTCCTACGTGAACAAGAAACCTGACCTCCATAAATGCCATAATGTGTATATACTATGGGGAAATTCACTATAACTAACGAGCAATTTGTTCTTGAAAGAGGGCACTCATATTCTTTATTTTTGTGATAAATAAAGGGAAGGGCTTTTCATGACCACATTGTGTATTGGACATGCATGCTCTTCTGTATGTTTATATTCAAATCCAATTGTATCAGTTAATCAGAAGAGTGGAATAATGCACAGCTACTTGTCCATAACAATATAGATTTTTCCCCTGATTTCTGAAACTCACCATATTCTGATCATGGGTATTTAAATCTATAAACTTTGACTGGCTGGCAGCCAGTGTGAGCCAGAATGCCAAGGTATATATAATGACAGTTCAGTTATTTCCCTTCTTCTCTACAATGCTTCTCTTCTGACTATCTCTCTCATTAAAAATTGTAAAATTAGTTGCCAGACAGAGCAAGAACTAACTCTGCTTTTCAATTCTTTAGCTGAAGCAGAAATATTCCAAAATGGTACATGAGCACAGACAGCAAAGGGTCTGTGACAGCAGAGAGAGAGCTGAACATCTGCTGAGGTTTCGATGCTCTCTGCCCTTCTCCAGTCCCTGGGCCCAACTTTCACCCCTTGCAGTTTCACAAAACCCTATGACTTAGAGTAATTAGCACACCAATACACAAGACACTTGAATTTTCACTATCTGATAATCCTGAAAGCCAGGAATAATGAGAGTAGCATTCTGAAAGTAAGTAACATTTTCACAAAATGTTCTGAGGATTTCAGCCCAAATGGTCTGGGTGAAAGTGGGTTAATGTGACTGGGCAGGAGAGAGGAAACTGGGGCAGGAGAGATGAAGAGGCAGTTTGAGACATGGTAGGCAGATGGTCACTTGGTGAAAGACAGCAGATGAAATGAATACACAGCTGATTTTAAACGTATTTTAAGCAATTTAACTTTCAGTACTTCTGTGTTACCTGTTGACAATTGAAACCAGATGATGATTAAATATTTTACTGCTATATGTAACTAGATCTATCTATTAATTTTGTAATAACCATATCCTGAATTAGCAAATTCTTTGTCTTTGAAGTTTATTCAATTCACAATTTGGTTATTGTTGCCATAAATAGAGCTAACATCCTAAGATGTCTTTATACCTACATTAAAGCTGCCAATGCTATTTTCTGTATAAAAGGCCATTCCTACATGGTTCCTTTCCCTTCCCTTCCCTTCCCTTCCCTTCCCTTCCCTTCCCTTCCCTTCCCTTCCCTTCCCTTCCCTTCCCTTCCCTTCCCTTCCCTTCCCTTCCCTTCCCTTCCCTTCCCTTCCCTTCCCTTCCCTTCCCTTCCCTTCCCTTCCCTTCCCTTCCCTTCCCAGCCCTTCCCAGCCCTGGCCACGGGGCTGAGAATTCATCTTGGCAGAGGAAATCCCAAGTTGCAGACCCTTTGCTTGGGTCTACCCCAACTGGGCTGAGCAGTTTTTGCCCTGCAGCCTAAATCTTTCTCAGGAACCATCAAAGAGTTAATGGTGACTGACCAGATTTTGCAAATCATGTGTTTACCAGAGGCAAAAGCACTACAGAAGAACTCCACGGGGAAACCACGAAGCACGTAAACGCACGGCCTATCAGCTACATCCCGACTCTGAGACCACTCCTCAGCTGTCGGGGCCAAAGGGTCTTTGTTCCTGAATGGTGATTTTTTCTGAAGTCACGTCAGAGCTGATCTCCTACAGATCTTCCTCCAGGCTTCTCGGGTGCCTCCAGGCCAGCAGAGCACACTGACACTTTCTGTCTTCCCTAAAAGTCCTGCTACGTGCAGTAGGGCCATGCAGCACCTCTGCCCCAGCTCCCAGGGCAGCACTGAGGGAACCTCCTGGGCCACCAGGCCTGGCCCTATGCAGTCACACCCAGCCCATCATTTCACTCCTGGACATTTGAGGAACACCACCCTATTTCTTTTTTGCCCTGTTATCTCTACAGGAAGCATCATGCAGATCCCTTGTGTTTGGAAACGGTGAGGGGCCTGGAGAACAAGTCCTACAAGGAGCAGCTGAGGGAGCTGGGCTTGTTCAGCCTGGAGAAGAGGAGGCTCAGGGGCGACCTTATCGCTCTTTACAGATACCTTAAAGGAGGCTGTAGTGAGGTGGGGGTTGGCCTGTTCTCCCACGTGCCTGGTGACAGGACGAGGGGGAATGGGCTAAAGTTGCGCCAGGGGAGTTTTAGGTTAGATGTTAGGAAGAACTTCTTTATTGAAAGGGTTGTTAGACACTGGAACAGGCTGCCCAGGGAAGTGGTGGAGTCGCCATCCCTGGAGGTCTTTAAAAGACGTTTAGATGTAGAGCTTGGTGATATGGTTTGGTGGGGACTGTTAGTGTTAGGTCAGAGGGTGGACTTGATGATCTTGGTGGTCTCTTCCAACCTGGATGATTCTGTGATTCTGTGAAATCAGCCAGATTTTAGCTGGGAAGTGCTCTCAGGCTGTTCATGTCTGGATGCTCCTGGAGAAGACACCTGCGGCTGTGGGAGGGCAACCTTCACATCGCTACGGCTGGGTGCTCAGATCCTTCCTGGGGGGACCAGGGACGGGATGGGATGGGGGTGGGATAGGGGAGCTGGAAGTGGGAAGGGTGCACCGGGATTGTGGTGGGGATGGGATGGGGATAGGATGGGGGGACTGGAGGTGGGGTGGGGGTGGGATGGGAAGGCTGGGAGTGGGATGGGGATGGAATAGGGGGGCCAGGGGTGGGATGGGGGGAAGGAGGGTGGTGTGGGGATGAGAACTGGGGGCCGGGAGTGGAGTGGGGATGGAATGCGGCGGCCGGGGGTGGGGTGGGGGGGCCGGGGGTGGGGTGGGGATGGGGGCAGGGGGTGGGCGGCCCCACCCTGACGTCAGCGGCCGGGGCGGTGCCAGGCTGCGGGCGGCGCTCCCCGAAGCGGCGGCGGCTCCGCTCCGCTCCGCTCCGCACCCGCTCCGCACCGCTCGGCGCTGCCGCAGCCCCCCCAGCGCCCGCCGCCGCCGGGCCGCCCCCCGGCCGCCTCCTCCGGCGCAGGTAAGGGGCTGGGGGGCGGGCGGCGGGGCTGGCTGCCCCCCGTCCCCGTGCCAGGGGTGGGGGGGTCGGGGCAGGGTGGGCGCTGATGTGTCCGGCTCCCCCTTCGCAGGCTGCTCTGGGGCTCGAGGGCGAGCGAGAGGCAGAGCCGGCAGCACCCCGGGCATCGGCAGCGAGCGCCCGGCCGGCCGCAGCAGCCCGGCAGCGGCTGGAAATTTCGGCGAATTTAGAGAGGGGAGGGAGATCCTCGTCTTTGCGAAGCCTCCTCAATGAGTGCCAGGCTCTCCAAGGAGTTGAGGCTGTCCCTGCCGCCCTGCCTCCTGAACAGGACGTCTGCCACCTTGAACGCCAGCAGCACCTGCATCGCGCAAGTGGGTCAGCTCTTCCAGTCCTTCTCGTCCACCCTGGTTTTAATCGTCCTGGTCACCCTCATCTTCTGCCTGATCCTCCTCTCCCTCACCACCTTCCACGTCCACAAGAGGAAGATGAAGAAGCGGAAGATGCAAAAGGCTCAGGAGGAGTACGAAAGGGACCACTGCACCCGCAGCAGCAGTAGTGGCAGCCGGCAGCACCCCGGGACAGGGGCGCGGGGAGAGGCACCCCAAGGAAGAGACAGCCGCCTGGGAAGACCCCCCCAGGACTCGGAGATCCAGCGCCCCTCTCCCTCGGCAGCCCCCAGCTCCCAGCAGCCACGGGCTTCTTTGGACACAGCTGGCGCGGGGCTCTTGCAGACGGTGATTTTGTCATGATGGTTTGGGGGAGACCTCGCGACGGCGCTGGTTGGTGTTTGTAAATACCTGAGTGATTATTCTTGTCCCCGAAGAAGAAGAAAAAAACGTTGCTAATTCAGACGAACGAACGAGCCCCCGATCCAAGCGCATGACAGATCACATTGCGTTTCTCATTGACTGTGTGCAAGGAAAGGATGCGTCTTTTTACCGGAGAAGGAGCTGCACTCAGCTGCCACACACCATCGTCCACCTGGAGGAGAGGGTCAGGGGTGGGGGTCCCTTTTCCCCGGACGTCGTTACCCCAAGGACCAGGGCAATCCCACTCTCCTGGGCTCCCCCTGCTCCCTCTGTCACCATTGCATGGCGTGGTTGGGGCACGGGTGAGGGGTGCAGGGGGTGAGGCAGGTCTGGCGGGCACCTCGGGACCCCCCGTCCCCTCGGAGCAGGGTGACAGCCCACCGTGGTCTCTCCTTCTGTGCCAGGACCTTTGCCCCTGTCCCACCCCTCTCACTCCTTTCCAGGACTGGATATTGTTTCGTGTAGAAATGTCCACCCCCAGTTGGGCGTTAGAAAACTGCGGGCACCCCACGGCCCCGTCCCCCAGCCGCAGCGCTGAGCCCCCCGCCGTCCACCCAGCAGGATGGGCAGAGCAGAGCAGAGCCTTCCTCTCCCCTCAGCATCCCTCATCTTCAAACACCCCCCGTGACACAGACCCCGAAACCCGGCACCGTTCTGCGTGGCGGTGCGAGGCGGTGCGCCCCGAGGGAGGGTGGCCTTGTCCCTCCTGGTGGTCCCCAAAGAAGCCTGGTTCTGCACCAGGCACCCCGCTCCGACTGCGCTGCATTCACAGCTTCACCTCCCGGCAAGGAATCCTGCAGCAGAACGGGGCTGGCTCCTACTTTTTTTTTGGCTGATATGTATTTTTATCCCTCCTAACCCAGTAGGCAGTTAAGGATGCGCAACACTTAATTTTCCCCCTTTTGGGGAGCAAACCATGCGGTTGTGAAAAATGTCAGCTCGTAAACCCCGGCAAATGTTTATTTCAGAAGTGGCTGGTGTGGGTTCTCCTGAGCACACACCAGCAGCTTTCTGTGTGTGGCAGGCAGGTGTGAGGGGCTGCTGGTGATGTGGGTGCTGGAGGAGCCCTGGTACAGCGAATGCGGCTTCGCTCAGCGATTAAATCAGTGCCCGTTCCTTGGAGGTGCCTTAGCAGAGTGCCGTGTCCAAACTTTGAGACATCTCGTGTGGTATCACAGCAGAGGCAGCCCTCTACTGTGCAGATGAACATCTAAAAAAATACAGCAAAGGAAAAGTAATCCCGAGGGATTTCTTTTCTTTTTTTCCTTTCCTATCCCGGCATTCAAAGTGGTGCGAGGAGATAGTAGTCCACAGTTCTTAGTGTTTTGTCCCCGCTCTGCTGTACTCTGCCTCCTGGCGTGGCTGCCAGGCTGGAAAACCCTGGGCACAGGCGGGGAGCAAATGCTGCTCACCGAGGTAAAAGGAGGGAGGAGGGCGGCAGAAGCGCTCCCTAATCCTTCGGCAGCACTAAAACGCGGAGGTTTCAGGGCAGCGCCTCTGTTACCCCGTTTTACCCCTTTCTGATCTTGCCTGGCCTGATGGGCAATGACTGCTGGGTTTGGATCCGTGTGTCCGACGCTGTGGGCAGGTGCTGTAGCATCCCGCTCGCTCGAGGAGCTGCTCCGCCAGCCGAGGTTAGTGCGGGGACGTGCCTGGAGCCCACCGGGTTTCACGCTGCGGCGCAGCCGCACCAGTGGCCGATGCTCCCCGGCAGCTGGTGCCACCAGATGCTGATGGCTCCTGCGTCGTTGCTGGGCGAGGAAAACGGGCTTTTGTTTTGTTTCCCCTAATAAAGGATGCATGAACTTTTGTGTTTAACCTCCTTATGCAACTGCAGCACGGTATTGCACCACAGGGAATAGATTTAGGACAATGAAGAGAGTTCAGTGAGCAGCAACGGAGCTTCCTGGTCGTTGATCTCCACTAAATAGAGAGATATTACTTTCCCCCTTTATTTTGTGCCTTTTCATAAAAACCAGTGTATAATTTCGAGTTTTATAAAAGCAATAAGATGTTCCAGATCACTTCAGTGCATTTCTGGTTGATGGTTCCACTTCTTTAGTGTCTGAAGTCAGATACTCTTCCTTCTGCCTTATGCACTCAAGGCATGCAATAATTCCCCAGAAGTGTACTGCTTGTCACATCTCATTGCAGTTATAAAATTGCCCTATTTTTGAAGAAAAAAATAAAAAAAGAAGGATGGAGATACATATATATATCTTTATATATATTACGGATATATAGGTATATATATTATTTATATTATCTCATGACACTAAAAAGTAGTTGCAAAAAATGTAACTAGAGTTAAAATGTTATCATGTAAACCTCTATCCTCTGTTAATTAGCTTTGATTTATTATTTTAATATCTCTGTATTTATGTAAATCTATGTAAATTATGTGGTCTATAAGTAAAATTTCATACTGACTTTAATTTTATCAGAACTGTGAGCTTCTTGTGGTGTCATTTAAGGTTTTGCATTTCTAAAGTTAAGTTACACAAGATGCGAGAAGTTATAAATTCCTTTTATCACACAGGAATACTGCAATAAGGTTCATGCGTTCTCCCAGTACACGACCCTACCTTGAAGTATTGTAAGCTTACGAGGTTTAATTGAACGGTCTCAGGAGATCCAGTTGATACAAGGAGGACACGTAGGCTTTCGTTTTCATGAAACAATAAGCAATCTAGGGAATAAATGTGGATTTTTAAAACAGAGTTTATGCTTGGAGGTTCTGTCAAATCAATTGCTTCAAAACCCTACAGCTACAGCTAAACTTCTGCACTTAGCATTCAGTATTAATAAGGCTGATGCTTCTTCCCTTTCCCCCTCCTTCTTAAACTAGAAAAGTGTAGGAAATTGTTCATATTTCTAAAGCATACATTTTCAGCTAACTGTGAAACTGCCCAAAGGGTTTTGAATCTACATATTTTATGCAAGTGTAATATCTATGTATCTGTATCCATATACTTAAATATTTTTGTGTAACCTTTTCTACGATATTTGATAGAGATGCTGGGTGAATGCTTGATCCATTCTCGTACGTAAGGAAGGATTTATACCCTGACTATGTGGACGTTCTTTTTCCTGCGAACTGTTAAAAATTTGCACTGTATTTTTGGCAAGTTACGTTGGAGCCTGGACAGCTGCGTGCTGGCTGCTGGAGAACAGACAGTCCTTCCTCTGGTAAGGGGCACGTCCTCTGGCTGGATTTCCCTGCTTCAGAATAAGAAATCGGGGCCTGTTGCATCTTGCAGGTGTAAGAAGAAGTGCCGTGGTGCTCACCAGCCCGGTCCGGTCGTCGTCCCACGGAAGGAGCACAACTGCAGTCGCTTATTTTGTAGAGCCTCACCAAAGCTGGGTGGCAGCGCTGGGGCTGGACCAGCGAGCCAGCAACTCCTCATCCTGCGGGGCATCCCCAGAGCTTGCTGCTCCCCCGGGGCTCCGTCCAGCTCCCACTGACAGCAATGCGAGTGGCATCTGCTGACTGCGAAGGGACCTCGGGCCCGTCTGTCATCCAGGCAACGGGTGACAGCATCCCTCATCCCCACTGCTTGCCATGCTCGGCATTTTGGTGGGGACAGGACCGCCTGGGACGCCGAGCCTGGCTGTGGTCAGCCCCGCTTCGCCGGCCCGTGGCATGCTCATGGATCCTGCGTGGGTCACGGACAGGGAGAGGCATTTCGTTCACATGTATTGGTCCAGCATTTTTTTTTTGGAGGGGGTTTGTCTGCTGCAAATGTAGTCTCTGAGATGAGATTTGCCAGCTTGCCATCCAGGCGTGATTTCGCTTTTGGTAAACCTCTCCCAGACATATATCTGCACATACACAGATATATATCTCTAAAGAAATGCTGGACAAAAAGAACAGAGATTCCACCTTATAGGCAAAACTGTCCCATGACAAAAACCTGTTTTAGTTTTGTTTGTTTTCTTTTTTTTTTTTTTTTCCTTTCCTGTTAGTTTTTAATTCATTTTAAAGGCTACTATCTTCAATGTAAATAGCAAGTTACTATGTGATTAATGTTTTCCACGGCATTCCTGAGTAGTTGCTATCTTGTTTCTGGAAAACTATGTCCAGTGTTTTGAAGCAACTGTGCTTTTCTTGTTCTATTGTTATGAATATGAGTGCAACTTTTATGTAGGGAGGAAAAAGAACGCGATCTGACTCCTTAGACAGGACTGAATTATTATAAATCCAGTTACGGGATTTGGTTGCTTTTCTTTCTAGTAGTCATTTTCTCTGCACGTTTGTATTTTTTCTATGGGTAATTGAAACCCTACATTTTAATAAGTACGCAAGCTATGGAGGGTAACGCGAAAAATGAAGTAGGAAACATTCTTTTTCCTCTTTTGTGTAAATAGCAAAATTTATAATGACTTAGATACCATTTCATTACAGTTCTCATCTACATAGAAGTTGGCATGACTCGTATACGAACCTTTAATAACGTTTTTATTTATGTTAAGTATTAGAACTACTTTTATCCAGGACTGACTTTCTCATCTCTTTCTGGTACCTAACTCTTTTTTCACTGAAGCCAAGTTTTCCATCTGATCACTAAATAAATTTCTAGTAGAACAGAGCCTCCTTCTGTTTTTAGTCTTTTACATGTAGCTCTCTGGTCTAAATCCGGCCAAACTCGACAGTAGAGGAAACGAGTTACAAACTTGTGAAGCCTGGATGGTGTAGGAGCCCTGAGGGGAGAGGTGACTGTCCGACAGGCACACAGGGGAGGTTCCTGCCGATGTCAGCCTTAGCTTCCCCACCTGGAGTCGTGGAGGTGAAACCTCATCCTCTGGCTGACCTGGATGAAGGGGGATCCATTCCAGCCACAGCACAGACAAGTATCAGCCTCCTTCTTCACCCTGTTGCTCCAAAGCATCATTTTCTACATGGCACTAGATCTCATTTCAGTAAACTACATGTAATATAATTCTCATTCAAGTCAAAGAAGTTTTCATTGCTCCACCGGCATTATATGTTCTCTGTGGGTAACTAGAAGAATTCATTTTTCAACCCTTTTAACCCAGTACTTCCACAAGCATCAATTTTAAATGAGTTAGGAAATAAATAATTATTTGGATCAGAACACTGCCAGTACAAATTGCCTTTATTTGTATAATCTAGTGTTCCAGTTGGCTTTTCCTTGTTGTTTTCTTCCTTGAAATGGAGCAACTTAATCTGTTCATTATTCTACTTTTCTAAAGGGTATGAAGATTCTTAAGCAAGCACTGCAAAATACTCATAAACAAACAGAGAAAGATTTCACGTTGTACATCACAACAAAATAATGTTGGTTTTGTTGGCTTCTGTGAAATTCTTTGTTCTCTGTTTTTCAGACCTCCCCAATCAAGCTAAATCCTTACCTAAAATCTTCTGAAGAAATTCCCAAATAACATATAACACAGAGTTTGCCTTTCCTTTATGGTTTTAGTTTTGCAAAGAGCAGTAACAGGCGGTCATTGACAAAGTACAGGTTAAAACTTTGCAAACATCCAGCAATCTAAAAATAGTAAAGTATCCTCAGGGATTATGAACACTGTAAATAAGGGTAAGTAGACCACATTAGAAGAGAAAATACTAGCTCTGTAGTGCAATAAGAACAATATATGCTGGAGGATGAATTCACCATTGTAAACAAGCTCCTTTAAATTTTATTCCTGGCTCTGTCACTCATTTATTGTTAGTCCTTCAGCTTCAGAGCTATGTGTGTAGTAACTGATACGTAATCTACTTATTAAATAAAGACACAGAACCTGCAAACAGGCAGCCCTGAAATGCATAAATTAAGCCTCATATGCATTAAGAAATTGCTGATACCACAATACAAATTAAGAGTCTTTATGCTGATCACCTGGCTTGGATGACTCAAACGCTTACATTTGGCAGTGAGGTCCAAGTGGCATACGGCGCAGCTGGGAGGTGGATGGCTGGGCAAGATGCTTCTGCAAGCACACCGAGAGACCCAGTGTAATTTTCAAGTTGAAGTGGAATAAGTATTATGAAGGAGAGCCAAGAAAGCTAATGTTTGTTTTACCATTTCATCACTCATAACACTTTTCTCCTAACAGTTCTGTGTGACTTTAAGTGGAGTGCTGACTCAGGTAGTGAGGATATAGATGAAAATTCTTGGGAATAATCCATCACTGATGAAGTTAGCTGATGGAAAAACCTCCCCAAATTCAGCAGGGTCTGGACTATGCCCAGGATTACACCTGCTGCTGGCTGTTAATCCCTTGCCAGTGCAATCAGACTCTTGACTGCTGCAGTTAGTATTTCTGGGATTTCTCTTGTCTTTTGGCTCACAGTCTGCACCCAGCTCCTGGGGGGGACAGCAGGGGACAACCTGGGGGTTACCTGTATGTGACAAGCTCACTCTCACCTTTCTTGAGCTTTCTTTATGGCTTGCTGTTCATTTTGAATCTGACTCTCCACTAGAGAGCCTGTCTGGTGAATCTTTCCATGGGATGAGAGCTATGTTTTCCAGGCTTGCTTCTTCCTTACCTCAGGCTATCTCTACATTACGAATTTTCTCTCTTTAAATGATCATTTTCTTTGATTTCTGCAAAGCTACTGTAAGACTTTGCCCTCACCTTGATCATGCATTTACCCATAGCCCAACCCTATGAGCACAGCATCAAAATCTCTGCTATCAAGCTGTTGAGAAAGTGCTGGACTTCAAACAGCCTGAGAAATCCTGCCACGCGTCTCGAGATGGCCCACTGGCTTTGGAACAGCGTCATATTTCCTGATTAAGCTGCCAGCCCTACACTACAGGCTGAAACTGCTGAAAAATCATCATTCTTTCATAACAGGAACATCACTGTAAGGAAAAGTATCAATTACTACAGAGGGGAGAATACATAGTTGAGAGGATGCGGTGATAATATGGGTATCAGTATGCAAATGTATTTGTAAATCTGTGAGACAGACAAGGTCAAGTGAATGTCTACTGAAGGCTGACCTCCTGGTCCACATTTTATTCCCTTAAAACAAATTATCATAGTCCATCCTTTTACTTATGGTTCTGAGTATTTGTGATGCTATCAGACATATGATTTTACCTCGCTGCACAGATAGAAAAATCCGTCAGTGAGTCTCTGCTTGTCTATAAACTCCAGCTGAACTGTTTAAAGTCTGTTTGCTTTCATTACAGAAATAGTTTCTAATAAACCATCTGTCTTATAGACCTCAACAACAGCAAAGGGGAGCCCTCACTTCCAGAGCATGTGCTAGAGCTTGCCCAATCTGGCAACAGTGCTTTATAAAGAAGGACAAGTGTCCAGCTGGTCACATGTGGGCACTTTGTAAAGTTCTATGAACAACTTTTGATTGCATTTGAATGAACAAGAAACATTTAATATCTTGTCTTTTTACCCATTTACAGTGACGCAAGTTCAGATCTTCTCTGCTCTACTACTTGAGCCATCCTGGATTTATATATTGCTAAAATGGAGCTGAATATATGGGCCATTACCTATGTAACTGAGCTTCTCTAAAATCAGCTTCTCCTGGTGTAAAGGGACGATGCTGAAGCTAGCAGAGGAGTGAAAAAGGCAGCTGAAGTATAACAGACTGGCCTCAGTGCTATTATTTGCACAGGGCTGTGGCCATACTGCAGGGGGACTGTACCAAAATAAGGGCAGATTCCTTTGCTTGCAAGTGGAAAAAACAGCAACCACGATGTTTTTTGTATCAGATCTGTGTGCAATGTCTTTTATAAATGAAAACTTCAGATGCTGCAGTTTACAGAGAAACCCTTGAGATCACCATGCTCCAGTTAGGCCTTTTCTGTTTCTTCTCAGAATATTTCTTCACACATTCCAGAAAGAAGAATCTCAGATTATGTCCAAATATAGTCAGTGATGTGACATCATAACCTGTGTGAGAAAGCTGTGCTCCTGAAAGACACCAGTTTGACCAATCTTTATGTGTTCAAACCCTGGGCACCTCACCACCAGCTGTGCTTTGTCTCCAATGCTGTGTACCTGCCGTTGCAGTGAGGGGCCAGGAGGAGGAATTCAGACTCCTGGAGCATGCAGTCTCCACTCAGCTCCCCACAACTGACAGAGGTGGTGGCAATAGCTGTCAGTGAGGCACTGGAGAGAAAACATTCTCCTCCCATCGTGTAAGGCATAGAAAAAAAAAGCAACTTTGGTAAACACAAAGCTCTTGCTGGGTTAGAGCTGGCAATTTGGGAAGGAAGAGGTACTAGGGTTTACTTCCTAGTATCTTAGCCTAAATTACTTTTCTGTAAGCACTGTTTGTGTGAGTATTAGGGAACAGGAGTTTGTACATTTTTTCTCCTGGTTGGTATCACCCGATGCAAAGTGGAAAGCTGGGCTGGCTGCTGCAGTGCTGCTCTTGCACCAGGTGCCATGGAGAAGTCAGCATAGGTGCTGCTTTTGAACAACCACAAAATGTTAATTAATGTCAATGTTTTCAACAATATTCAGTGTTATGTCTTCGCTAACTTATTTTACTTGGACTGACACAAGTTATGACACACTTGTATGAATGGATGGTGAACAAGTAGTGAATCACAAGGGAGCAATGCCAACCATGAGTGTGGAGCGATGGGACAACATGTGGCATTGAAGGGAAGGATACAGGGGCACTAAACCCTTCAGCACAGTTTTGGCCAGAAGGGTTTATGAGTCTTAGTCTACCTGGTGCTCAGTATCTCCCTTATGGATGCCTGGGATTAAAATATAGACAACCTGTTGGGGCTGCAGAGCTTCAGCTGGCTCTTGGGTAGCACCACATCTCCCACAGCCTGCTCACACCCCATGGTGGCCAGCAGCGCTCCCCTGCTTTCCTCCCTCTGTCCTCTGAGTGAGTTCCTCATGTGTCCAGCCCCATACACTGTCTGCAGCTCCTGCTCCTGACCTGGTTTCTTGCACATGGTATGTACAGAGCTGCATGGGTGATGGTGGAGTCATCAGTGCAGGCCTGGTCCCAGTTGTCCCTGCCTGTCCCAGTGCAGCCACCAGCCCGGTCCTGACCCGCAACCCAACCACCTGCAGGTCTTGTAAGGGGTCCACATCATTCATCTCCCTGCTCTTCTTTCAAACGTAGTTGAAATTATCCAATGGACACAGAAATGGCTGGGGAAGGACAACTGACAGGCAGTTGGGCAGCGAATGTGATGGCACAATAATGCAGCCATTACTGAAATAAGCAATTTCTCACATCTCATGAATTGTAAGTAAATTTCACGACTTTTCTGGTGCCTGACTCATAGTTTTGAAATGTTTGGATTTGGCAGTGCTGCTCAACAATATCTTTGAAGCCCATCTGTGCTGTTTATCCGCTCTTTCTTCAACCCCCAGGCATTGTCTGTTTCCTTTGGTTTTCCAGACTGTAATCTTTTGAAGCAAGAAATTAGGGTTTTGTTTGATAATTGTGGTGGTTGCATTAAGCTTGTTCAGAAGGTGAATCATAGATTTCTAAGACTAGAAGGGGATCTGGAGGGATAAAGCTACAAAATGATCTACTGTCTGTCACAAACAGGATTTTAATCCAGTAATTCATGTCCTGCCTGGCAGGTCTGCTGGCACAGGAGCATTCATTTTTTAGAGC